TGCAGATTTTGAGAAATAAGCGATTTTTGACAAAACGAACGTTTGTTTTGAAATTTCCTGATCGTGTTACGTTACACCTTATTCATAAAATCTGATTTGTAGTTTATGGATCTGCGCCACAAGGATCGACAAAACCTGGCACGGAATTTTTTCGTGCTTCTAAAACCGATTCTATTTAAAAAAAAAAGCGTTTTTTTATCTAAAAATAACAATCAGTTTTAAAAATAACCTTTAAAATTTTCTTTCAAAAGTTATTCTATGAATATATGTAGTAACGCAGCCAATGATTGGTACAAATTTCGTGCCATAGAATTAAAAAAGAATTTTCCAATTGAAGATATTTTACCAAAAAGAGAAATGGTCTGCGTTACACGAATTTTGAAAAGTCCCTGACTGTAAATTACGATCAATCAATGAAATAGACAATGACTGAGTTTGCGATTCATATACAGTACTGGTATGGATAAGTAATAGTGCAGGCTGATTTATAAACTATACTTATTAGGTTTAGAAATTATAGCTGATTAATATCGGTATGGTGTAGTTTTTAAAAAATTGATCCTGTACTTACAGATCTGCTCACCTATACCGTACCAATCCGCTGTAATTTCGTCAGTAAAAAATATTTATATTTTTGTTTTATTTTAAATAGTTGGCAACGTAAATAAGCTTAATTGTGCATGATTAATAGTTGGCGTAAAGTAAAGGTTAAACATTGCTTTTTTTTCAGGCTCATCCATTTATTCGCATTCTGCATTACCGCATAATTTTTGACTTAGTCGTAACGATTATATATATCTAGCTATTCACAAGTACGATCAATATGCCAGTAAAAATATCTATATTTTTGTTTTATTTTTTCTAAGTTCGTCCTCTTACGTTTCTTTTTAACCGTTACGTTTATTTTATTTTATTTTATTTTATTTTTTTTAAAAAGAATGAATTCGCATTATAATTATCAAGACCAATCACTTATCACAAATGAACCATTTTACGATGCTATAATAATAGGCGGTGGTATTGCAGGTTCATCTTTTGCAATAAGGATATCCCAATTATTTGATTCTTCAGAATTAACATTTAAAAAAATTTTAATTATCGAAAAGAAATCAATAACTCATAATTCATTTAAAGTTGGTGAATCATTACCTGCTGAGGCCAAGCCCGTACTTCAATTGCTTGGGGTTCTTGAAAAAATAAATGATGACACTATTCAAGGTATTTTTAGTAATAATTCTCAATAAAGTTTTAATTCTCATTCATTATTCACATAATTTTTCATATTATGCATTATTTCTCACGTTAAGGGAAGCATCTCTTTTGCTACGGCAACAACTCTGTATGGGTTCCAATAATCTAAATGGCACAAATTCCATATTCAATCCATATGGAAATGGATTCCATTTAGATCGTTTATTATTTGAGGAAACTTTATTGAAAACTATAGAATCACGATATGGACATATTGTCAAAGTTATTCATGGATTTAATGTTGCTAATTTACGTTTTAATTTTAATGGTGATTTCGCAGAAGATAAAAAATTTTGGGAAATTACAATCTCAAAATGTTCGGATTTGAATAACAAATTTTATTTACAGATTAATATTTTATTTATAAACTTATTTGTCATTAATTCATACTTTACAGTATGCGAGATGCAGAAAAAAATCTATGGAAAAATTTTAGTTGATGCAAGTGGTCGCCGTTGTTGCATTAGAAAATATATACCATCTCTAAAGCGTGAATCATTTGATAAATTATTAGCTTTCGTCTGCTTATTTAAATCTGCCTATTTAAACGGTTTGAAGGATAATGATCATAACACTCTGATAGAATCTTGCTGCTATGGCTGGTTTCAAACAAGTCAACTACCCAACAATCAACGTGTCATTATTTTCTTCACTGATGACGATTTGGTCAAACAACTTCCTCAGAGAATAAAAGTGGTTGATGAATTCGTTGATTTTTTGAGAGAGAACTCACATAATATTAATAAAATTTTAAAAGAGTTTGACTATACACCGATTGAAAATAGAGTTATGTGTATGGCTGCGAATTCTGAAGTTCTTTCAGAATTTGGTTAGTATTTTAACAGTATTTGTAACATATGCATTTGATACATCTCATCATGCATTTAAAATTTTTTGGTTAGCATCAACCAAAAATCAGTGGATTTCGATTGGTGATAGTGCAATCTCATTTGATCCACTTTCATCACAAGGAATCCTAACAGCTCTGTATAATTCAAAGTTTGGTTCTGATGTTACATTTTTTCAATTCTTTTATGACAAAAGTTTAAAAGAATCTGGAAATAAGAGCAACGAAACTGATAATAATATTCAACCATTTGACATTTATACACAAAAACTTACACAGATGTTCAATAACTACAAAGAAGAAAAAATTATTTTTATAATAAGGAGCAAAGATGGACCAATAGTATGTTTTGGAAACGAAGACATTTTGGATAATATCAATAGATGCTTATTAAAAATTTCAAGGCGGTATATTTTAATATCACAAGAAGTAAAAGCCTGATATTTTTTTTGATTTTTGATTTTTACTGTATTTGATCAATTTCCAATGGTGATGCTTATTAATTCATAATTCTTGGCCAAATTTGTAAACTATCTTAACAAAAAATAACTTTAAATTAACATGCAAAGAATTAAAATAAATCAGTATTAAATTTTGAATGTTCAAATCT